TACAATATAAACATCTTAGTATATAATTTTATTATAAGAATTCTACATTTAACATTTTGGAGGGATACTGAAATTTTAAAGAAAATAAATGTAGAAAAAAATGTGCTACTCCTGAACAAATAAACCCAGTTTCAACACAGAATATAATTGGCATATATTTTTCTTCCTAAAAGCATCTAGATAAATGTGTATTTTGACTTGCAGTTGAGAGAGAGAGTGTTCGTACTAAGGTTCCTTATAACAGCTGTTTCTCTTAAATGCTAGATAGCACAAAGTTGCCTAACTTTTTTGTTGTATATTACTTTAATAGTGTTTGTAGTGTTCTGCAGAAAGTTATCCTCCGTGTTGCTGCTATATCATTTTAGGTCATTGTGACTTGATTTGTGCTTGCTGAACTGTTCAGCATCATCTAGCTTCCTAGATAAAATATATAGTTTTTGAATGGAATATCCCAAACTGTAATGACAGCAGATGTACACAACTTAACCCAATTATTTTCATTTACCAGAGTGAAAATAAGTCAAAAACTACAATAAACTTTCCCTTATTTGTGACCAGTCAGGTAAATCCTCTCTGTGCTCTTTGACCAGTTCCTATCTGTTACTTTTATGGGTTGTGTGAATGCTTATTTTAGCTGGTTTAGGTAACCAAGTGTTAGTCTTCAAAAATAAAACCAGCAGGCAGTGAGTGAGCTGCAGAAAAAAATGGAATCAACCAAGAAACAGTGCAAACTATCAGGTCTTATCAGAATTGTTTCTCTTTGAAGTCTCGTCTATTTAGCTTAGATAATGATGGTGACTTGCTTGGTAGCTGTCTGACTTACTGGTGTATTTTCCCCTGTTTGTTCCCTGTGCATTTTTATCCAGAAGGAAAACCCCTCTACCAAGTGCACTATGAAAATGAAGATGGTCCAGGTTCCAACTTCTATGACATAGTGGTCATTGCCACTCAATTACATGATAGCAAGAACAATATCACCTTTCAGAATTTTGATCCACCTATTGCTGAGTTTCCTGGAACTTTTCACATCACCGTCACCTCCATTGTTCATGGCTACCTCAACTCCTCATACTTTGGCTTCTCAGATCCCAAGCTTTTTCCTTTTGCCAGTGTCCTCACCACAGAAGCTCCTGGCCTCTTCTTCAATTCCATGGATAACATTTGCCCTGTCAACTTATCTAATAACTTCAAGCGGAAGCAGCCCCAGGAAGCTGCTGTGTGGCGAGTCCACTCTCAGTATCCTTTGGAGAAGCAAGAGTTGAAGATGCTGTTCCGTTCTTATTATTCTGTTCAGGTGACAGAATGGCAGGTCTGTCCTGATTACGGATCAATCAAGAACCTCCCGCCTATTATCCTGCATGACAGCCTCTTCTACCTCAACACCATGGAGTGGGCAGCCAGCTCCATGGAAATGTCTGCTGTGGCAGCCAGAAATGTGGCTCTCTTAGCCTACAATCGGTGGAATCATGATGTAGAGAAAATAGACCAGAAAGACTTAATGCACAAATTGAAGACTGAGCTGTGAACTTAGCACTGCCAGACAAGATTTTATTGCAGGCAGAGTGAGAGGGGATATTTGAGGCTACTAAGTGCCATTCCTTGACTTGCTGTGTTCCAGTTATATTGGATTGCAGCATTCAGAATTCCCTATCAGTGTAGTAAGAGATGCTGAGATTTGCAGTCCCACACATCCCCAAATCCTCTTAAGTTAAGGAATGTACTTCAAATTTAATAGAAGTAAAGCAGAGCACTGGCAAATCTGTGACTTTATACGTTCATCTGTTGTTATCAGTGTCATGGCAATCTCTTTAGCATAGCATCACTCTTTCAGAGAACCTGTAAATTAATGCCTCTTTCTAGTTGTTCAAGATTCCTTGATAATCATGGAAGAGGATTGAAACTGAATAGTGTCAAATCCCATTTGACTTTTACTTTACCTGCTGAATCATATTCATAAAGCCCCATTGTGTATATTACCAAACAGGCTGCAACTTTGGATTCAAACTTCCTTCTTGGGTCTTCCTCTGCAGCCTTCCCAAATAATTTATACTGGACTGGACCTTCTTCTTGTACTTCATCCCTAAAGCTAAAAGAAATGGCACTTGTAGGATCATAAGAACTTTTATGATTTCTTGGTTTTCCTGGCATCCCAAGCACTGTATTCCCTTATGTTTATTAAAAGCCCTATGGATTTAGATCAAATGATGGTGAAGCAAAGGACCTTGTGTTGGAATGTTTCCTGCGAGAAAAGCTTAATGAACAGCTTAATGAATCATATCACTTTGTATCCACTATCCAGATAAACATACATGCACAATTAATGGTTGATCTGAAGTTGTCTTGCCAGCCATCCCACGGGCCTTTTTCCTGGAAATAAATTAAGCATTCTTTCCTCTGGCATTTGGTTTTTTTTTAAAAAAAAATCCTTGTTGCCTAAACCAGGTGAAACCACCGAACTAACATTCTGGAATTGTCCTGAGTAGATTCCACAATACCCTACTGGTCAGGCTGCTCCAGTAAATCTTTAAAAAAAGGTCTGTGAGTTGGGGGTTGAATATTTGCTACTTGCTGCTAATGAAGCTGGGCTGTCATGCATCAGCTGTGTAGGGCAAAGGGGTAACTTGTTTTTGCTCATTCCAGATGCAATAAAACGGTGAGGTTCCCTATCTTTCTTCCTAGAAACGGATTGGTTTCAATTGTTACCCTTTCAATTGTGTACAGTGTGGATATTGATAAGAAGGTTTTCTTTAATGAATTTTGTTAAATCAATGACATATTTGCAGAATCAGAGGAGCGGTACGCTTTATGATCAAGCAGCTAAATAGGCGTAGTAGGCCCAGCTAGCCTCTAATGAGATATTTCACTGTGCCTTGAGTCATAGCCTTTAGCTGGCTGGGAAGGAACTGAGAGAATGAAAATAAAGTTATCTTGTTTTTTCTGAAGTTGTGACATTCTGGCAGATAGACAAAATCTTAGATCAAGGATAGCAAACTGTTTGCAGCAGGTTGGCAGATCTGGAATGTGGGCATATTGTGAGTATTCTCATGAAATGGTTGCCACAGTCGGTGTGGCTGGACTCAAAATATTCCTTGGTCGGGGTGAACTGAGAAACTGGTTCCCAGTCATCTGAGTAGATGCATGGACTTCTAAACAAAGTACTAGACTGCAGCTATCATATGTAATGTTCAGAAAGACCTCAGGAGATTTTTGTGATTAATGCCTCTGGGCCCCACACGAGATGAACCTGGAAGTATGCCCACATTTTCACTTAACAAAAATAATTAAAAAGAAAGGTGCAGCAGGGGCTTGGCAGGTACAAAAGCCAGCTGCTTAGCAATTATATCAGTACTTCTTGGCATTTGATTGGGTAACTTCCCTTTATTTTGCTCTGTTGCTTCATAGCCATAATGGCACTGCATTCCATCCATGACAAATTGTTTCTGGGAAACAACTCACCCAGGATTCAAATGGGAATCTTTCTTAGATTTATATACAGAACCCAAGGATTAGGCTCGCGCTCCTCTTCCTGTGGACCAAACCATGTTGGATAATGGCTTGAATAATGGAAAGCTTTCTTTCTATAGAACACCGGTGCGGCACTGGTGCTTTCTCTGTATTATAGCAGTTCTTCAGCTGCTTATCCCACGTCAGAATGTTTCCCAGTCCTGCTATTGGAGAACCCCCAGTGCAGGGTTTGAATCTGGGCCCTTCTGCAAAAAGACTATGTGTTCAGCCCCTGAGCTGTGATTCTTATCCATTGTGAAGGATAGGGTATTAAAAGAAGTTATTACAGATACTTGATCCATCACCATGTATAGTAATAGGCAGGAAAGATTTCTTGGGCTCTCTTGCTGCCTCCTCAGTCTAACTCTTGGTACGAATACCACCCTTAATGTTCCTCTAGCTTCCTGCTGACATCCAACTCATATTGTCAGAACTTTGAGCACAGGGGCTGCTGGTATTTAGATAAGACTTCATTGATAGCATCCCATAAGGTGGATAGTAGCCTGGCAAACAATCTTGATTTAAAGAGCCTTTCCATTGCACAACTTTCCTCCGTTGCTCAACATTTAGACTTGTTTTCTGCTCTGGCTTGAGAGACAAGGGGGCACTCTAACTTTTAAACTGTTGAGGAGTAGGTTCTCATTGTGCTAACCATAGTGGAGTTGGGCCTATGTTTCGTGTGGACCCAATCCAAGTATGGTTTGGTAATCAGACATATGAACTCTACAAAGTGTGAACCCAGCTAGTTAGTTATGCTGAAGTGTTCTATATCTGAGAAGGATGATCTGAAAGGTGTTTTTTTGAATGTATGAAGCCAACTGGATGACCTTGGGCCAGTTACTCTCTCAGCCCTAGGAATAATGTAATGGCAAACCCACTTATGAAAATCTTGCCAAGAAAAACTGCATGGAATTGTCCAGGGAGTTGCCAGGAGTTAAAGACTAACTTGAACACACATACAGACAATGACATACTGATCTCTATATTGATTCATCTCTAAAGGTTCAGTCCAAACTCAACTGTATATACTAAATTGTCACCAGTCTGAATGAAAACCTGAAAATAGATACACATTTTAACCAATTATCTCCCTTCTGGTTTTTTTTATCTATATCCCTTAGGAAACAAGGATGCCAGATTAAGGGAGGGAGGATGGAAATGGGAACTGTGGCTATAGCATCATAGCAAGTGCTTTTTAAGTGAGGAAGTAGCTTGAATGGTTTAAACTGGACCTAAAGCATTAATGAGTAATTTGCCTGCTGGATATACCTTGCCAGCCTTCTTGAAGGTAATGCAGAGATGGGAACTGAGCAATAGCAATAGCACTAAAACTTATATGCAGCTTCAGAGTGCTTTACATCCCTCTCTTAAGCGGTTTACAGAGCCAGCATATTGCCCCTCAGTAATCTGCATCCTCATTTTACCCACCTCAGAAGGATGGAAGGCTGAGCCAACCTTGAGCCTGATGAGATTCAAAGTGCCAAATTGCAGGCAACTGGCAGTCAGCAGAAGTAGCCTGCAGTACTGCACTCTAACCATGACCGCGGCCCAGTCAAGCGCAAGTTACTTCAATTTCTAAAAGTACATTGGTGTTTTCTCATTTGGCAAAAGAAGAACAGAGCAGTTTAGAAGAGCAAAGATAGTACTTCATCCATAAGAGCAGGAAGCCCCTTCCTCCTGGGTCCTCAGAAGATGCAAGTGCAGCCCACAGCAATGGTCTCCATAATCATCTTGTACTCTTTGTGGCACTTTTTCTTCTTCCTGTGAGGCTTGCTGGGCTCACACAGCATACGTCTCACTGGGATTTTGCTATAGATAGGAATGCTGACCATGGTGCGGTCCTCCTGCATGGTGAAGGGATTGATGCACCCTGCGCACAGACAATGCGCCTCTGGGATGTCAGCTGGAACCCGGAATGCATCGTGGTTTATCCTAAAGGAAAACAGGTTGACATTAAAACATGCGTGTTTTTTCTCGATGGCTGGTAGGAATGTGCAACAGTTTGAATATAGAAACGAAAAAGTGTTTCTTGACATCCATGTTGCATCTCCAGGCTTTTTAAAGGAGCTTCTAATTTTACTGGGCATCCCACAATCCCAGGAAAATATGTTTGACCGAGAAGGTGCCATCTTATGTAACATGCCTGCCCGTACACACTGTAAATCATGTTTCCCTTTTAAAGCCAGATGATGGCTGAGATTAGGATGATATCGCATCACTGGACAATATCCCAGAATAAACGGTGGCAAACCACAGCCACCAGTTGTAGCACTTCCCAAAACCTTTGTAAGGAAATGGCATGGAATTCTTTCTCCCACTAAAAAATTCTATTTTTCCAGATGGGAAGAATATCTGCATGTAACCTGTTTGCTCAGGATAAGAATCATGGCTCGACAAGAGGGACAATAGAACAAACAACCTCCACATAGAAAAATGGTTGCAATAGGCAATTGCTTCCACTTGTGGGAGTGCAAGCAACCTTTCCCAATCTGGTACCTTCTAGAAATGTTGAGATGAAGATTTCCAAAATTCCCAATTCATGGCTCTTCCAGCTAAGAATTCTTGGAGTTATAATTCTAAGATTGGGAAAGACTAACTAACCTAGATGAATGCCTTCTTTTTAAACAATCATAGATTTGTTCCAGAAAATGATGCAATTCTGTTACAATTATTTAACTAAGCTGCAGAAGTAAACAGAATTATACCTCCATGGCCAGTTCCAGGAAGGCACTTCTGCTGTGACACTTTGTTACAATACTAGTCAACACAGTATCAACAGGAGAGACCTTAAAATGTCTAGGTTCTACTATATCACATGACCTAAAATGGACACCTAACATCAAAAACACCATCAAAAAAGCACAACAAAGAATGTTCTTTCTGCACCAGCTCAGAAAGCTCAAACTGCCCAAGGAGCTGCTGATCCAGTTCTACAGAGGAATAATTGAGTCTGTCATCTGCACCTCTATAACTGTCTGGTTTGGTTCTGCAACCCAACAGGACAGACATAGACTTCAGAGGGTAATTAGGACTGCAGAAAAAACAATTACTACCAACCTCCCTTCCATCAATGACCTGTACACTGCATGAGTCAAAAAAAGGGCTGTGAAAATATTTACAGACCCCTCACATCCCGGACATAAACTGTTTCAACTCCTTCCCTCAAAATGACACTATAGAGCACTGCACATCAGAACAACTAGACACAAGGAGAGTTTTTCCCCGAAAGCCATCACTCTGCTAAATAAATAATTCCCTCAACCCTGTTCAACTATTACAAAGTCTGCACTACTATTACTGTTAATCTTCTCATCACTCCTTATCACCCATCCCCTCCCATTTGTGATTGTAGGACTGTAACTTTGTCACTTGTATCCTTACGATCTATATTGACTGTTTCCTAGTATGATTTTGATTGCTTACTGTACCCTATGACTATCATTAAGTGCCGTACCTTATGATTCTTGACTCTTGACGAATGTATCTTTTCTTTTATGTACACTGAGAGCATCTGCACCAAGACAAATTCCTTGTGTGTCCAATCACACTTGGCCAATAAAGAATTCCTATTCTATTCTATTCCATTCTATTCTATTCTATTGTTAGAACCAGAGCTGGGCTTCGAAATATGCCCAGAAACCCTTATAGCTTAGATGCCACATTTCATGGCTGCTATTACTCTTAATTATAGGTCACAAACTGGTACTTCTGATAGTACTATGCACTGATGTATCATCACTGAGCAAAGCTAAATGCCAATGAAGCAACAGCTATTGCATGCACCACTGGAAATGACGGGATAGACAGCATTCCTTTCCTTCCCATGAAGCAAAGTATAAATGAATTCAATTCTTTTACTTCTGGACCTGTTAGAATTTGGGACCTCCAGTTCTTTGTGGATGAATGAAATTACTTGTTCAATGTTCAGAAATACAGTAAACTCACGGACCATTAAAAATACCACGAGCAGAGGATACAGCGCCACAAACTTGGGCAACCCTGAATATCTTCTTGATTTGAATATTAGGCAGTATTGAATATTCAAACTAATTCAGATTTGCTTATGAGTGAGCTGCAGAATTACAGCTGCATATAGGCTCTGAAGATTCAGTTTGACCATTCCTTTTTCATTATAAGAACAGAGAGTCCTGGCTTAAGGATGTAACTGGGGCTGACTGCTAAGCAACGCAACTGTAATATGCAGCATCAAGGGGCTACGCAGACTTGCAATGCCAGTTGTAGCAGTTCCAGTTGTGCTCATTAAATGAATCCCATGGGATTGTTAAGCATGCTGTCATGTCATCACTGTGACCTCCTGCCAGCTTCCCTATTGACTTTGTTGAAAGCCAACAATGCAGATCACAAATGGCAGTTGTGACTTTGGGATGCTATGGCTGTTGTAACTTGCGAACCCTTTGCTAAGTGCCTTAGTCATATGAGTGCTATGAAAACTGACCAGTCATAAATACCCTTCTTCAGTGCCATTGTAACTTCAAATAGTCACTGAATAACTAGACAGTTATGAGGATTTCCCTATAAGCTCTCTTTTATCATCAGCAGTGCATGCTGCTTGGACTACTTTTTGGTGATGCCCAAGTAGCTTCTTTCTTGTCACTTCTGCTCTAGACGATTCAAGGGTCCCAGTTTTCAATAATTAAACCAGTGATGTTGCCAGGCTACAAATCCCAAACTACAACTTCTCCAAAGGACCAGGCTTTTACTAATTTTATCTTAAAGGTAAAGGTTCTCACACCTACATGCTAGTTATTTCTGCCTCTAGGGGGCAGTGCTCATCTCCATTACAAAGCTAAAGAGCCAGCGCTGCTGAAGGCGCACAGAATGCTGTTACCTTCCCACCAAAGTGGTCCCTATTTTTCGACTTGCATTTGCAGGTTGGCAGAAGCTGGGACAAGTAACAGGAGCTCACTCCATTATGCAGTGCTAAGGATTCGAACCACCAAACTGCCGACCTTTCTGATTGACAAGCTCAGGGTCTTAGCCACTGAGCCACCGCATCCCCTTACAATTCTATTTTAGGTTCTGTTATATTCTAGTCCACCCCAGGTGAGTTGAATTGGTTAAAGCACCTGAAATATTAAACCGATCACTGAAGTCTGAGATCACATGTGGCTACATTATAGTAAAAATTTAGTTTTAGATCAAAGTTCATGATTTCAATTTTCCTATTTCAGTTTAACTCTCTTAATAGCAATCAATATATTTTTATTTAGATAAATTATTTAGGAAAATGGCTCCAAAGCTGTTCCCAGTGCAAGATTCTAAATAAGAACACACAGTGACTGGATCATCTACTTATGCTGTTCTAATCCAATCTAGTTAATATACAGAATGAAATATAAGCTTGCTGTTCAGATGATCCTTAGCAGTCTGAGCAATACTAAACAGAGTTAAGCTACATTCCTCTAACCCCCAGAGGCGGTAGGATTTCTCATATTTCCCCTTTGTTGACTGAGGGTATCATTAAAACCATTTTGGGTTCCCATAAAGTCTCAATTTCTACTCTAGTTCTGATATTGGACCTCTTATACCAGAAAAAGTGAATATTTCTGCTGTTGTTGATGGATCCACTGTACCTAAATCCCTCTTAGCTTCCTGACAAACTAATATGTTATCTAAACCAGTGATCCCCAACCTTTTTTATGCCGCGGCCCGGTACCGGCATCAGCTGGGCGCCACCATCTTTTTTTGATGAAAAAGTGCTTCCGGTGAGCTTTCTACCCGGAAAAGCTCACCGGAAGCACTTTTTCATCAAAAAAAGATGGCGGCGCCCAGCAACCAGCGGCCCGGTAGGACTTGTTCCGGTCCGCGGACCGGTGGTTGGGGACCCCTGATCTAAACCAGCCAGGGAGACTAATGTAAATTAAATCCCCAAATTCTCTCCTGAAGAGACAGTTTGGTGCAGTGGTTAAGGAATCAGACTAGAAACCAGGAGCCTATGAATTATAGTCCCACCTATGACACAAAACCAGATGGCTAATTTTGGGACAGTCATTCTCTCTCAGCCCTAGGAAGGAAGCAATAGGAAACCACTGTTAGGGTTTGGGGATTAACCCCTAGAAGAGTATTGCAGCAGTAGT